CCGCAGTGAATAGAAGATGAAGAAATGGAAGAACAGATAAAGATTATGATGAATTGTGAGAAAACAGCCAATTCATTCTAATTTTTGTTCGATTATGGAAAATAACCCAAACTTTGAAATAATGTTTTTTTTTTCTTGTACTTGTAAGTCTAATGTGTGATGATGTTTTCTCTAATGTATAATAGACAATTTGAGTGATTCAATAACTACCTTAGGTACCTATTCAATACCTATTTTAAACATTTTTGCCAAGTTACACCTATTTATATACAGTTATAAATTTTGTAATGAAAAATACAGAATTTAGCCGCCATCTTGGATTTTGACTGATTTCCTCTGCCGGGATTAATGGGGATTTTGGATATGTTAAAATAGATACTTTTCACTAGGGATGGCAAAATAAAAAAATATATCGATATATCGAATCATATGATATATCGAAATAACATATCGATACATTCGATATATCGAACGAAAAACATCGATATTTTGAATATATCGATATATGTCTTATTTGTTTATTTTTTTCTATGAGCGTGCGAAAAGTGGTTTTTTTCTGCACGCATTTAAGGTCATGAAAATATCACTTCTCCGCACTAGTGTGGAAAAGTAAAATAGTTATGCAATGTTAGGTCACCCCAATGAACTATAGCCAAAAACTGGAATGCGCACACATTGCCATATCTGCCAAAAAAATGAAGCCATGAAAGACAGATGCCACAAAGGGGAATGTTGTTTTTTTCTGTTGCTCGCTGACATATGACGTTTTGGAAAGTTTTGTCATATTTACCTTCACAGGTTTCATCAATTGGAATACGTGCTGGAAGCAATTTCCGCCATTTAACATAATAAGTGCGACAAAAACAGGTATCCCCTCGGCAGACGTGCTTTCATCTGGAATAGTACGGCATATACACACGTTATTTCGCGCGATTTATCGACGCCACGATAAACCGCGCGAAATAACGTGTGTGTATGGCGACCTGCGATTGAATTCTCAATCATCTGAATGATTGAGAATTCAATCATTCTGTCAACATTTTAAAAATTTAGATGTTTCTCCAAAATTGTATAAACAAGATCATTTATTAGAACTCACCTTCTCATAACTGAAGAAGCTATAAAAATATAGCGAAAGCTTTTATGAAGAAAAAAGAGTTTTTCTTTTAATTTGGCCGCATCCCCACAAAATTTTTTCAATATTTGAGTAATATATCGATATTTACAAAATATCGATATATTTTTGCCATCCCTACTTTTCACAATAGAATGCAAAAATAATCATTTGTGTTGCAATTTTGCCTAGGTCAAGGGAATTTTTACGTCATATTGCCGGCACTAAATCACTTCTTAACTCTGATAAGTTGCAGCTCCGATATATGGGTATAGGCTGCCAAAATGTCGTTATTGGACTCGACTTTAACATTTAGCGTAGTTTTCTTTATTTTATTTATTTTTTATACACATAAGTTATACCATTTGGAGTTTGCTCTGCTGTGTATTGTAGTAAATAAATAAATAAAAATAAAGTTGCGTAAGGCAAAGTTCCGCTGATTACCGAATTAATGAAGCTTTTATTTAAGAATTTCGAAACCCTCGTGGGTCTTCCGAGGAGCCCGTTTCTTCCGAGGAGCACGTTCCTTTCGAGGAGCCCGTTCCCAACGAGCCCACATTTTTACCGATCCCCATTTTCGTGGAGCCACATTTTTCCATGTTGATCATTTGGCTGGAATATGGGCATACAGCGAACTTCTAGCCTCCATCTACCTTGATTTAAGGCTAGAATCTGCAATTTCTATCTGCAACTTCCGTCGTCAAGTGATAGAAAATGAACGACTACCTTGACACCGAAGTAACGGTTAACTAATTATTTCCGATTATTAACTTAAAGCAGATACCGCCATGTTTAAAGAATGTATATTTTATTAATCATAATTATAAATGTGAACTGAAGTCCAGGTTCAAAAATATGTTCCAAATTTAAATTTATTACGTAAGTAGAGTATTTCCAAATTCAATTGGAACAAGGTACCAACTGGTGGCTGACTGGTCACCAGAAATGCACTGCCACTAGTCAACCACCAGTTATGATTTATGTTCACCTTGTTCCAATTGACTAGAAAGTGATCAATTTTTCACCTGGGTTCTATAACTTATAAAGAGGATTTCTGTTGTATTTCCTGTATACCTCCACCATTTAACCTAAGCTTTCATTTAATACAGGTTTAATTTGATTTTCCTGATTTTTTTTTTTTTTTTTAAGAAGCTTCTCCTCTCCTTCATATTCATCCATATAAAATTACAATTATTTTTATTTATTAATTTTTTTTTTAAATTAAATTTTCTGGAATCTTAAAGCTTCCATGTTTTCATCTCTAATTCAAGTTTTGGAGTTTGGTTGATCCGAATGATGGTTAATCTCTATACAGGGTATCCCACGAGGTTTTTCCCAAATGATTACTTCGGAATGCATCATCGAAAGTCCCACTATATAATTTTTCATCATTTTCTCTTAACAAATTTAGCATTGCCGATTTTATAATTTAATTTTGTAACGAAAAATGCCATAATATACCATGAGCTTCATTTAAGATTCGAAAGTTGATGTCACTTGACCGAAATTGAAGCGAGAGTGGTGAAATTGAAAAACGTCGTGGCACACCCTGTATAAATATTTTATTTAAAGTGTTTTATCAACAACTGATTCAAATTTTTTAAATTTTTCTGCTTGATTTTTAAACTCATTGTGAATCTGATTTCACCGTGGAAATATATACTATTTTAATTTGAAAATTGCTTGAGTGCTTTATTGGTTTTACCTCTGTCAAGATTTGGTTGAGTAGTATGCCTTATTTATTTCCTTTTCAGAATTATCAATCACATTTTGCTAATCATTTTTTTAAGGTGTGTTTTTGAATTTTCACACTTCAATATTTTACGTAATTTAATTATTCATTCAACTATTGAGCCACCCCTAATAATTATTCGTTGAGTAAACTGAGCCTATTATGGGCCTCTTGTTAGTCCGTTAGCACAAGGGTTTACAGGCTTCAATCATAAGGTCTCTTTAACATCATAGTGTGTTCCTTACATCTTAACAGTTTAGCACCATCCCAAAATGAACCAATCGTTTTCTCGACCTTGTTTTTGCCAACTTTGAAATTTTATCATGCAATCCGCACCACTAGTCGAAGAGGACCCCAATCACTAAAAAGATTTCCAACTTTCGAGCACGTCATGCAGTCAACGTTTTTAAAAATATCGCTAGCGCTACCCAACCCAGTTCAAATTCCGTAAAGCTGATTGAATTAGATTATACGACTTGATGCAAAGCGCTGACTGGTCCCTAGTTACTCAATCCTCTGTCGCCTGTCAATCTTTCTATGAGACTCCTGATGACAAGTTTGCCGGCTGCACCACTCAAATTACCTTAGTGAAGGCGTTTTCTTCATTGTTTCACCTATTACCTTGAAAAGTTCAAATCATCGAGTAGGTTAATCTTATAACGATCTCACTCGATCAGGACCTAAACCTAGGACATCTAGAATGCTTTATCAATTGAACTTTGTTGGGGCCCTCCTAATAATCGTTTGCTGAAGAAGAAGTCGGAAAAGGGAGCTACATTTATTGTTGATGCTGCTAACGCCGACATATTCGATAACGTTAAATGGTGGTGGGATTAATCGAATACCAGCAATCGGTAACCTTCAAAAGGCTACCGAGTGCACCGTACATTAACACTCTCGACTTTCGAAAGATGCTGGAGGATCTGACCGATAAGGTAGAAATTGACCGAAGGCCTCGGTAGTTGAGTTGGTAAGAGTTTAAAGCTCCTAGATTCAATTTCAAGTTGAGACCAATTTTTTGTGGACCCTATATCCCATTCAATGTAAGAGTCTATTGGAACTGGGAGACATACTTATTTGATATATTTCGAGTTAATCAATGTTTAAAATTTTACATAGATTATTTCATTCATTACAAAATAGTCCCATCAGACAACGTCATTTTTTGAATGAATTTTGTTTAAATAAGTGATTATTTCACAAGACCTTGTTTATCAGCGATTAAATTTTTGTTTACCTTTTTTGACAGAATTTTGATACAAATATTCTGACATTTTATAATAAATAGAACTCTTTGGATAGGATTGACGCCAACAATTCCATCCTAATTATTCAGGAAATAATCTAGCCGTATACCACTCGACCTATAAATTTAAATGGATTAAACTATCCAAATATTTTTTGCATAATTTTGCTTTTTGGCAAATAGTTTCATGCACAATAACTTTTAAATAAAATCCTTCGACCGCTTCGCGGTCTCGGGCTTTTATTAAGTTATTGTGTATTCAACTATTTTCCAAGCAAATCATGCTCAAAATATGTTGGATAGTTTAATGGAATAAATTTAAAGCTCTTGTGATATAATATATGAATAAATAATTTCCATAAATGAACATAATGCTGAAATATAGATCGGATTGTCGTAGCATTATAGTTATATCTTTGGTTTTAGTAGAACAATGTCTCTAGGGCCTTCTATTACTGATTTATTTTTTAATTGTCTCAAGCATATGATAAATTATTTGAATTTGATAACCATTAATCTACAATTAATTAAGTTAATACAGGAAAGTAATCATTCAATAAAATATTTACCCTAAATATTTATTCATCCTGAAAATAAAGCCAGACCATGCTGATAATTTACCGCATGCTGGCATGATTCATGATAAAGAAATTAAATTATTAGTCTAGTAGTCGTATTGATTAGGTTCTGTTTTCATGGTTTACTAGATACCATATGAAATCAATTATTTAGTTTTCCCTTTCTCAGATAAGCATCGAATTAAGAAATAAAGAAATTTTTTGTTGTAGTTGGGTTAGTAGTTTCATTAGGTAGGCAATATATCAGTGTCCATTAGAATGCATTTGTCATAGCTCAATTTTTGTAAAAAGTAAAATAATGCTCAAGCCTTATCTAATATTTTTTTCCAGGATTTTCTGAAAACAGTTGACGTTCTCTGGGACGACATAAACAAAGACCAAAACACAAAAGTACCACCCATCGCTTGGGTAGTATACCCTTCAACTGAAGACTTACTAACGGCCTATTGGATGGAACCTAACGATATACCTTTAGCTGTGATATTTCATAGTCCTGATCCTATCAATGGACCACTGAGGTAGGCAAACTCCAGAACATGCAACAATTCTTTATTGAATACATTTTCCATTCCAGCTACACCATCCGGACAAATCCAAACTTATTTGGTACTCCCTCAACGATACAACTTTATGGATCTCAAACCAGTTGTAGAGAGTACAACTCTTTTTGGCAAAGCGTCCCAGGAGTACCTACTCCTGTTTTGCCTGAAGGCTTGGAAATTGGCGATAGCTGTCCAGTGAATCAGTATTATTATTCGGGATTTTTGGCTCTGCAGGCTCTAATGGATTTTACTAAAATAAGAGTGGGTTTCGGTATTAGGAAAATCTTGCATGGGTTTTCAATTATTATTTGTAGTTGGATGCGGGGATTGAAAACCTGGCAGTTCCAAAAATTGTTCTGGAAATGTTTCCAAAACCATTTTTTACCGGCAACTGGATGGTTATAGTGCGAGTGGTTATACCGCTGTACACTGTGATAGCTCTATCTCAGTTTATCACTTATCTTCTTATACTAATAGTTGGAGAAAAGGAGAAAAAAATTAAGGAAGGGATGAAGATTATGGGCCTATATGACTCAGTTTTTTGGTGAGGATTTTCTCGTTTGCTCAAAGCAGCTGTTGAATAATAATAGTTTTTGCATTGCAGGTTATCCTGGTTCATAATTTATGCTGCCTTCGTGCTGTTACTGACAATAATCTGCTGTACTCTACTGTTTGCTTTAAATATTTTTACCAACACCAGCTTCATTCTGGTATTTATGCTTATTTTTATGTATTGTTTAAGCATAATTATGTTTGGATTTATGCTGACCCCATTTTTTGATAAATCCAGGGTAAGAATCGAATCGAGAAATAATGAGATTCGGGGCTTTCACTAAAAATTATGTTAATTTCAGACAGCTGGTATTCTAGGAAACTTTGCAGTTACAATCCTAAGTTTGCTCTACTTTATTCAAGTCTTCGTAAAAGAGTCGAGTTCAGTAGCCTTATGGATAGTTTCTCTGATAAGTCCTGCAGGATTTGCTTTAGCCATGGATAAGGTAAATATTTTTGACTATTTTTGAAAGTAGAAATTCGAGAGTATATTTTTTTAAAGGCATTTATAATGGACTTAGCTGGTGAAGGTGTAAACATATCCAATATCTGGACCGGTCCAGGCATGCCTTTTGGTGGTAGTTTAATTATGATGGCTGTGAATATAGTTTTGTATGGTTGGATTGCTTATTATTTGGATAGCGTTATACCAAGTATGTAGACAGAGCAACATGTTATTGTACAGACAGATTTTGGGTACAAGTTTTCAATTTTTTTTTTATCAACTTCCAGGTGAATATGGTGTTAAAAGATCTCCATTTTTCTGCTTCAACCCTCGATTTTGGTGTAAATCTAAGCCAGCAGACAAGGTAACTTTTGTTTTTTTTTTTTGCTTCAATTAAAGAAAGCTTTCACATAATCGTTACAATTATCTGAAAGATAATGATTTTTGTTGTTATTTATATAAGTTTCTTTATTCTTATATAATTTCAGATTCCTTTGACCAATGGTGAATCCTTAGGTTCAGTAGGTTCTCTAAATACAGGTGATGAAGGTCTGGCCGATTTTGAACCAGTACCTAGGGAAATGAAGGGGAAGGAAGCTATTAAAATTGTCGATTTGTATAAGAGCTTCAAGCAGTTTCGTAAACCTGAGGTCAAAGCCATTAACGGTATTAATTTGACTATTTATCAAGGCCACATAACCGCTATTTTAGGACATAATGGTGCCGGGAAGACTACTTTGTTCAATATTTTGACTGGACTTACTGCGCCTACCTCAGGGACTGCGTATATTTTTGGTTATGACGTGAGGTAATTCCGAATATATGGCTATTGGACGAATTTTTCAAATTTTCTTTATTTCTAGAAATCAAAACGAAATGGATCAAGTTAGAAGAATGACCGGTGTATGTCCTCAACATGACATACTATTTGATAATTTGACTCCAAAAGAGCATTTGGAGTTTTTTGCTACAGTAAAGGCAAGTTAATCGAAAGCTAACTGAAAATCTGGCTGTTAATAACCAAATTTGATTAACGTAGGGTATTCCATCCTCAAAAATTGACGCAGAAGTGACCAGGACACTCCAAGACGTTGACTTAACAGACAAAATAAACACTCCTGCTGTGCACTTGAGTGGAGGACAAAAACGTAAACTTTCAGTTGGTATTGCTGTAATAGGCGATCCTAAGGTATGAACTATACGTATTTATTTGTAATCTGAACTTAGTATCTGGAAAAAAGTTTTTTGATTGAAAATGACGATTAGATAGTATTATAAAGGAAGCCGAATCTAAATTTCAGATAATAATTCTTGACGAGCCGACCGCTGGCGTAGATCCCTATTCCAGAAGACACATGTGGAACGTATTGCAAAACCGACGACACGGCAAAGTGATTTTGTTGACTACTCATTTTATGGATGAAGCTGACATTTTAGCTGACAGAAAAGCAGTGGTATCTAAAGGAAGCATAAGATGTTGTGGTAGCTCACTTTTCTTAAAAAATAAGTTTGGAATTGGATATCATCTTACATTGGTACTTGAAGGTAGGTAGTTTATGTTTACTTACCCAGATAATTGATACAGAATATTGTTTCAGGAAATTCCAAGGAACAAGCCATAGCTAGATTAGTTACCACCCACGTATCCAAAGCTGAGAAAGCAAGAAGACATGGAAGAGAGCTAAGCTTCATTTTGCCCCACAACGCTGTAGATCATTTTGCGACTTTGTTTAGTGCTATAGAGGCAGAGATCAATAATAAAAATAGTAAACTAGGTAAGAAATACTTTCTTATTTACTATAGATGGGTATGATTATGATAAGTCAGTAAGGATGTTGTCCAATTTTCGGAAATCTGTTGGAATAAAAAGTGACATCACTGGTTTTTTCCAGACAAATTACCACAATAAACAATCAAAATATGAAATTGCTAACAAATCTTCATTGTGTTTTGGTTTTATTCACATACCATCTCCATTTTTCCATAAATGAAGCAATGACGTTTCAAACGTAGATAATTTTTGCTTTTATGAAAACGGCAATCTTCTGTTACTTATCAATAATTCCTCTTATCATTATTATTTCTAGGAATTTCGAGCTACGGTGTCTCAATGACAACACTCGAAGAAGTATTTCTACACCTGGAAAAAGCTGAAGACGAACCAGATGAAGCTGTAGACAATCTTTCAAAGAAAATCGTAAGAAATAGAGCACTGAGCAGAAGCTTGAGCCTCCAGAGTAAAAGCACTAGTTACCAGAGCTTGGAAAATGAAGGCAATTTGATGATTAATGGACAAGAAACAAAAGGTACCTACCCACCTTGTTCTCTGTTTATGGCTTCAACAATAAAAAAATATTCCAGGTGGTGGTGATTTACAGGAAATCGGTGGTCTGGAAGCAATCTCAGAAACAAAATCTCCAATATCAGGCATTGGTCTTGAAAAAATCGAATGCACACCCAACGTTTGTCAAACTCTATTAGCTCTCATCAAACTAAGAGCACTAAGAATGTGCCGTGACCTTCAGAAGCTGTACTTTATGATTTTATTGCCTCTAGTGTGTGCCGCTTTAAGTTTGTATTTTACTAGCTACTTTGAGAGCAACCACGTTACAGCTATGCCTTTAGAGCTTAACAGTACGACTTATGGAGATATGAGTACCATTACTTTGTTTAATGATTCGTTAAGTGACATTTCCAGTTTCATTGGTAAGTAATTTGAAGCTATTTTATTTTGTTTACTTATTATGTGATTTTTAGATCAATTGACTCAGCTTGGAGTTAGAAATGATATGTACAATGGTAATTTTTCGTCGTTATTGAAAATAGCGCCACATTTAGGAGGTTTCAATGTACATACATTTGAAGAATGGGATTATAGCTTTACTGTATTGTATAATGACACTTATTTGCATAGTATGCCGATAACTTTGAATATTTTGAGCAATACTATTTACAGGTAAGAGTTTTTGGACATGTTACATTTTTTTTTTCTACGCCACTACAAATAGTATGTAAAGCGGTCTAAGAGATTTAGCAAGGTATTTCTCCACTTGATGTTAAACGAACCCAATTTTGGTCAGAGGTATGTGATTTTTCTTGTGGTAAAATTGAAATGGAGTGTGCCTAGATTTGGAAATAAGGATGTTCGTGAGTAAGCGGTATTTTAAATAATTTGTAGTTATCTACGTAGGTAGAAAGTTTATGATGAACCCACAAGTGTTTATATCTATAGCTAGAATTTTTCTCTATTACAGATACAAATAATTAAAGTTTTTCTCCTAATTTTAAATTCCAACTCAATTTACTACTTCAGGATAATCGACTCAAATAGTTAGGTACTTACCTATTCAATGTCCGTAAGTATTTAAAATTCAGGTTATTCTCATGGTTTGATGTTGCATGAACCCGGTAAGGACATTTGGAGTTAACTAATATTTTCAAACAGTAGAATTGATTAATACCTACTTCCAAGTTATCACATTTTTTTCATTCACCCGTAATTCAAGTCAATTCTATATTCGCAGTCCACTATATTATCTAGCCATCTGGCTCTACTTTGGATGTCTATTCTCGGAACCGGGGAACAGCATTCTCATGACAACGATTGCTCTGTCTTTATCAGTGTTATAGGAAATATGAATATGGGTGACGAAGACAGAACCTACGTTCTCATGAGGACGTTGCTCCTCTGTTTCGAGAATCATTACCCTGGTCGGTGGCCGATTATCGGACTACCTTATTCTTATAGGACTGGCCTGTTCCTATGATATTGATTTGGACTCCCTATATGAAAATACTGAAAATAGATTTAGCTGCTGATCCCTACAGCTTCTTGTTTGTTTTAATTTGGCATCATCTCGTGAAAAGACGTTGCGTTATTCAGTGGCGCAGCCAGGGGGGGCGCCAGGGGGCCCGGCCCCCCCCTAAGGCTCCAGAGAAAAATAGAAAAATAACAAAGAAGACGAAAGCTGTAAACTGCTCATATCAGAAAAAGTTTAAAGGAAAGCGAATCTGTGTTTTTTCCTATATTTTTTCTACATGGCCCCCTCTAGACAAAATTTCTGGCTGCGCCACTGGCGTTATTACAGCTGCTTTTTTAATACTTGCAGATTAATAATTTTGTTCCAGCTCTTGCATTTGGTCTTTGTAATTAGTTTCCACAAGCGCTCTATTACTCGTATTGCGTAAAGTGATTAATATCCAGCATTGTAAAACTGATGATTATTTTTTATCCTGACCCTGAATACGAAGTCGGCTTACTGCCGCTTCTTCCTTTCATTTCAATTCAGCAACAATGATATTACAAATTGACACGAGAAAGTTGTCTGAAAACTTTCTCGTGTCAATTTGTAATATCATTGTTATCACCAGGCAACGATGCGGTCTTCACGGAGGTCTTACTAACTAATTGCATACCTAAAAGCAAAATCTAATTCCAAATATCACGGGATGAAATATGATTCAAATAATATACTCTGATACTTCAATTCTGTATACATTTCTCCCGATTTTAAGTTCCTGGACTTTGCTTTCCAAAAAATAAATTTGATTAATTCCAGAGTATTTGGAATCATTAAGAATTTCTGGTAAATTTTTAATGGGATAACGCCTGCCCTAGTTTCACTATTATAGATGTTGATTGTTGGCGAGCGGTTTCCAATTTGTTACAGATTTTTACTAGGGTGGCTACAGTGGTAGGGTTCGTAATAGCTAAGGATGGGAAAAAGTACACAAATCTTCTGCATTTAAAACGGTTGAAATATCTTTAATTATCTAATGAGGTGAACAACATTCTTTACTGCAAGACTTAAGAGCTTATCTCTTAAAATAGTAACTATCATTTCAAAAATATTTCATCAAATCCTTTATTTATTTTCAATCGCTACTTTGCTATTATACTCTTTAAATGTTTTTACGATTTACATTAGCATAAAAATAATTCGAGCAGTGAATGCATATTACTAATAAGTCAATGCATAAGTTATAGCATAGCTCAAATACTTAGTTTGAATTTCACAAATTTAGTTCACAAGTTAAGTTCACAAAAAAAACTTATTATAAAATTTCAATTGGGTAACGGACCAATCAAGAACCGATTGAAAAGTGTTTTCTCTCTGCCGGACCATCCGTGGACGCGTTTCGCTGTATTACAACAGCTCATCAGCATGGCTAGGTCTCGCAAAGAGAAAACAAAGCCCATTTTTGGTTCCGTCCCGGAACTAGGTTTGAGATAAATAAAATAAATATATAAATAAATAAATAAAATGGATGGATGGAGACTCCGTCTTCATTTTATTTATTATAAAATGTTCAATTCGCGTCCTAGGGGTGTCTTATTTACTTGTCGTCGCGACGTGTAATTTAGTTTACTATCGATCCCGAATTTAATGCTCGGTTTCTGATAACTTAATCAAGTTCGCGATTAAAACTCTCTTGATTATGTCTCAGACTGTTTTGTTTACATCAAAAATTAATAATTTGCCAGTATCACTGGTTTTCATTATTTAAGAATTTTCTCACACCAATTCAAGAGTTTCCTTAGCGTTACTTTGTTTAGAGTTAGACCGAAATTTACTGTTTACTACATTTTCGGAAATTGACTTATTACTCGACTTTCAACTCAACCTTCTAACTGACCGTTCTTACTTTCTTACTGACTACTCACTTTTCCTTACTGCCTTTTAACTGCATGGATATATCTTTTTTATGCGCGATTTTTGCGTTATTGCTGGCCTCGAGTCTCCGGGATGCCGTCATAATAAATTATAGATCCGTTTAAGGAGACACTTTAATTTTTTTTTTTTTCTTGGTACGAATACATGTTATTTTGTCTCTATTCAAATTCCTGTCTCAAACGATGCCACCCGCAATACATTATACATTTGTATCAAGGCAAAACGTTGAATAGATTTAGTTAATAAAATAGTTTTGTAAGTAATCGAACTCGTCTTTTGTGAGCCATTACAATAGGTACATTCCAAAAACATTATAAATCATTAGAAATTTTGGGCGTAAAGGTGGGTGATTGTGACACTATCCTCTTTTATTTGTTAAACTCAAAATTGCATTTAATCACTTGCAAAGAGTGGGAAATTTCATCAAAACCCCAACCATTGGGGATATTATTCAATTTCTCACAGAAAGATGCTGTTTCTTAGACTCACTGGATTTCAAATCGAACGTAAAAAAGTAGATTTGAAAAAAAAAATTGCAACCTTATTTTTCCCTAACATAACCTCAGAGATAAAAGTGTAGAACTCTCAAGTCAGGAGGGTAAGGTGTCCATTCTATAGGACCAGCTCTCCTTGTCCGTCGTTCCCAAAATGTCATATCTAGTGATTCCCTTGCTATTAAAGAACAATGAGGTGGGGGCATGATCCTGCTGAAATTAGATATCATCCAAGATACCCTCTTGTCTTAACTATGGAAAAAAGAACATATTAGTGTATACAGTTTCTCTCATCGTCACGTCGGTTCATTAATGAAAATGGTCTGTATTTTTTCTCAATAGAGATTGCACACCAATTCGTTACTGTTGGGGTATCTCTATTTAACGAGTTCCAGAGAAATTCTCTGGAACTCGTTAAATTTTCTTGGAAATAGTATATTGTGTATTTAGGTGGAACAGTGACACATTCTCGGCCGACGGTGTGAGTTGACGGGCGAGGCGTAGCCGCGGCCGGCAAACACCGAAGGCCGAGAATGTGCTTTTCCACCGAAATACACATACTATTTTTTCTGCGATCGGTTAAATCCTGTTAAATGTTTGTCTTTTAGTTCCAAGTATTCAGCAGTACGAGAATCACTTTCCCGGCCTAGGCCGGAAAAGTGTTTCCCGTATTGTTATTCATTGATTCCTTAGCAACTATTGAAACATAATTCAAATACCAGAATATTGAGTTTTGCGACCTGTCAACCGGTCAAAAATGCTGACATTTCTTGTCAATCGCAGAAAAATGTATTTTAATTCAATTGATATCTATGTTGTATCATAGTGGTATCAAGCATTGCATACATTTGCAAAATTACCAAGATTTCGATTTTGATTTTTTACGGCTAAAACTTTGGGTTTCAGGGACGATGTCTATAGGTATATGGATACCTTGAACATGAATCTTTTTTTTTGACGTGATCTACAGGGTGTTCCTTTAGAAATAGTGGAGAATTTCGATGTTGAAAAACGGATTTATTTTTATTCGAAATTTATGCAGGACTACAGGTCATATGACTGAGGTCACTCCCCCTTTCTCTAGTACCTATTTCTTCACATCCCATTAACTATTGCGTGGAAAAGCAAGCCAGATGGCTCAGAAGCAACCTTTTCAGGCATCTCGATAAATGATACCCTTAAAAATGGTCCAACTGTACAAAATGATATTTTTTTCTCTACTGCTCCATTTTCGGCAGCACAACTTTGTGCTCAATGGCGATATAGCTAAAAAGTATCGTCAGATATCAATTGTACCCGAGCAGCGTCATTTACAATGCATTATTTGGCGAGATGACCCCAATAAACTCTTTTGCCATTACCAATTAAATACTGCCCAGCAAACACACTGCATACATAAAACGTCTATTTTATGTCATATTTACGTCCGTACGTCCATATGATCTATTCAGAACGTACATAAGACGTACACTTTTGTACGTCTTATGTAGGTACATATTTAAACATCCATATTACGTACAGTTACGTCCACCATTTTGGTTTTATGTTTAAAGTGTAAAATAAAAACAGATCTGCAGGCATGTGCGTCTACACGTAGACTTTCAATTCTAACCTCACACTTTCCTTTTTTTAAATTATTTTTATTTTATTATTGGTTTTTCTGATATTTTATAATCAGTGAATGCTGATATCGAAGTGCGATAGTAATAGTATAGTTACTTTTGATATTTTTTTTCGAATTTTTTAAAATAAGTTATTGTTTACGCCGCATGTAGACAAGTGTAGACAAATGCTCACGTAAACAATTCGTCTACATGCACATCACTGCAGATCTGTAGGAATTTAAATTTGAATATTTGAATTTCGCTCTCATTTATGGTCATTTTGAAATTTGACAAATGATGACGTAGATGTTGGGCGAAGGAGAGGTGTAATATCCTAGTTCCAAGATTGAGGTTATGTCTTTATATCTTATGTGAGGTGGCGAACGACACGTTAGGTTAGGTATAGTTGCAATACTTTTGAATTAATATTTTTCTTTTGTTGTTATTCCAGGTTTAGCAAGCTAATAGCGAATAAATAATACACGATTTGAGTAAAAAAATCCTCTTTTATTTGGTTTGCAATATGTACTTAATTAGGTCTTCAAGATGTATTGTGGACGTTCTTTATGGCTCTAGGTTGTACGTCTTTAAGATGTATTATGGAGTTGACATACGACTTGCCCATTACGTCTTTAAGACGCACTTGGCTCTAAAATCGACGTCTTACAGACGTACAGTATGTCATAATGTTACATCTTATGTACGTCTTTGGAATGTAATTGTGTTTGTTGGGTGTGACTTACGGCCTCATCAGCTCTTCTTACTTAGCAACAAGAGGCTTGAAGGAAATTTCTATACATTGCAAATCTGATTTTCCAGATAATTTCCTTAGATTGCTAGGTGGATGATGTCATAACTGGCGCATCTACTGAGGAAGAGTTACTCAAATTAAGACAAAATTTAGTGTAGATAAATCATATCGCCTTGATTTGAGGAAGTTTACCCCTAAAGCCCTATCTGATTTGTTCAACGCTGAGAAAAACCAAACCAAAAAAGCCATCATTCTCCCCAGTTCAAAACGTGAATTATTATGTGCCATTTCAAAATTATTATTTATTGATTCTCTCGGTTTGTTGGGACCCATGATTGTACAGATGAAAATTGTTCTTCAGCAACTTTGGTCTCATCAAATTGACTGGGATGAACCTATACCACCAGATTGCTATGAAGTTGGAATAATTTCATAAATAATCTACGCTCAGTGAAATATTTCAATATTCCTTGTCAGATGTCCTTGAGGAGCCCTGTGAGTTTGGAGATCTATGGTTTCTGTGATGCTTCTATCAAAGCATATGGTGCTTGCATTTTTGTACGCTCCATAGACTCGCAGGGGCAAATTTCTTGAAACTTGCTTTGTGCCAAGTCTCGCATGGCCCAATTGAAGTCAATTTCATTACCACGTCTCGAATTGTGCGGCGCTGTAGTTTTGGCTTCCTCGGACGTTAAATTTGAGAAGGTGCAGTATTATACTAATTTCACGATTGTATTATGTTGGTTATATATAGACAACTAAACATCTTTGTGGGCAACAGGGTATCCGAAATCCAGCAAATTTCCGATGTAAATAAATGACACCACGTCAGTTCTGCCCTATGTCAGATGTTATTTCTCGAGGCATAAATCGCACCAATCTTCCAAACTGTCATTTAATTTCTGGTGGCATGGGCCTATATTCTTTTTCGAAAGTATCAATCATTGGCCAACTAGCCGCATCTCTTATTTTGCACGTAAAAATGATCACTTGAAATATCAGAATTAAACGCAAAGGTTATAACACTCACTGTCAAGAAACATGCCCTAAATTCATTCAATATTCCAACTTCTCAAAACTGAAAAACGAAATAGCTTATTGTCGTCGATTCATCAAAAATGCTAAATCTTCAGATAATTCATGAACGACAAGTTTATTAAGTCCCGAAGACTTCTCAAAGTTTATTATTTGTTAGTGAAACTTGTTCAAGGGGAATGTTTGCCCCTATTGAAATCCCATGAATCTGTAAAACCAAGGAGTAAGCTCAGTTCACCTAATCCATTCACTGATGAGCAGAGCACAATTAGAGTTGGTTGAAGACGGGCTGATATTCATTTCGATGCCAAGCATCCTATGTTACTGCCATGCAACGCAACCATCCCTGCACCGATCTATTAATCTGTCATGTTCATGAGAAATCGTTGCATTCTGGTACACAGGCAACAATATCCTTTATCCGACAGAAGTTTTGGCATTTGAATAGAAGAAATGCTGTTCGCATGGTAATGCTGGAAACCCGCAAATAATTTCTTAATTAATGGGTGATTTGCCATCAGTTCGTGTAACCCCTGCACGCCCATTCCTAAATGTGGACCATTTCTGCTGAAGGATTTGAAACTCAGAAACCGGCGTATCCTGGAATGCTACATTCGCGTGTTTGTCTGCTTAAATACTAAAGCAGTTCATATTGAGCTCGCCAGTGAGTTAAAATCTGTATGCTTTCTGAGTATGTTTCGTCGATTTGCATCTAGGCGGGGCTTGCAAGGGTTGTGTCAAAACGTTTATTCCAACAACGGCACAAATTTCGTGGGTGCCCATAACGAGATGCTAGATATTTTCAAAATTCTCAGCTCCGACACATCTCAATGTCATTAAAGCGAAATTTAGCGTCCAATGGCATTTTATACTATCGCGGTCTTCTCATTTTGGAGGTATTTGAGTTGATCAAATAATCATCCTCTGACATATGAGGAATTTTATACATTGCTGGTTCAAGTGAAAGCCATCCTCAATTCCCATCCTTTGACCTCTCTTTCCAATGATGCCAACGACCTCGAAACCTTAACCCCAGGCTACTTCATCTTAGGACATCAATAAACATGCTGCCAGACCACAATTTGAAGGACATCAACGTCAATCGTTTGTCAACATTCGAACTTTTACAAAGTATGTTCCAAGGTTTTTGGTCAAGATGGTCCAGCGAATATTTACACACCCTACATCAAAGATCTAAGTGGCAATTCGACAGCAAATATGACAATCTTCTGGGCGCCTTTGTGCTTCTCAAGGAAGATAATCTTCCACCATGCCAGTGGGATCGAGGCAGAATATCCGGTGACCACTACAAAGGGTGATTTGAAACGCAGTGTAGTGAAGGCGGTCTCAACTTTAATGATAATTCGAACTGACGATTTATAAACTCAACCGCCAAGTCGGCTATGAATGTATTTTTTTTTCTTGCTGTCTTTTTAGTTTACACCTACTATCATTGTCTGAACTAATCAATATGTTTTCAAGTTTGCTAGTTAAAATTTCTGTGCTTTGTTTAGTTTCTACGTTTATATGTTAAGGTTTATTTCCATTGGTGCCAGCCTCAGAATTTTTTGAAAGATATCCTCGTGCATGATTCTGGATACTTTTAAGGGCGACGGTATGTCGCGAACGTCTTCAATTTTCTTTTGTTAATTACCTATTATAAATTTCAATTTATGACATCCCGTCCTGCATAAGAATCTAACTGGGCTGAATGGGTCTGACCCAGAACGACCTACCCTGGGTGGTCGGTAGAAGAAGTGCGACGACTACGAAACCCGAAAAAAAAAATGCGCAGATCATATACGTAGAGAGTTCGATCCGTTCATTTTCTCAAGTTGTGCTCTTGTTTTTCACTGTTTAAATGTAAAGGCTGGTTACCATTTTTTGCTCTAATTTTCGTTCTTTAATAAAACAACCGATTAAACTTAATCAATCGTGTTTTGAACAACAATCCACAATCCCATCAAACTCATTGGTGCCGTGTGCCTGAAAACCTGTTTGTGGCTTTATCGATTAGATACGGCAAAATGGAAAAAAGCGTACCTCCTCGGTACGTCCCAAACACCTCCACTCCCCTAAATAGTTTTGCATGGAGTTTCTTAGCTTAATATGTTCTGCCTGTGATATAGGATGATCGGTTTTTTAAGGCTAATCTTTTTTTTTTCTTAAACAGCTTATTGATCTTTTTTGTCTATGTTTTTTGAAGAACTTGCAAGAAGTAACTACTTGCGTGTCAGAAATTTCCTATAAGTCTAATCAAACCTTGCTTTTTTGCTTGTATGAATAGGCGCAACTAGGGGGGTGCTAAGTACCCCCCAAACAAAAATTAGCACCCACATCCGGCACTCGACCATAGATAGCACTACCTAACCTAAGGTAATATAAAATAATAATAAAATAATGGCGCTACAGAACCCTTCAAATATGGAACTAAGTTGCGCCACTGCTTGTATGGTAAATTCCAAAATATCGAAGGCCTAGCGGACAGCGATAAACGCCTTTTCTCAAAACAAGCAATCGTACCCATTTACATGATTTACCTGTCTGCAGAACAAAGCCATACCGCTGCCAGTAGCATCAAAGCATGTCAAGTCAAAATAGGAGTACCGTTAAATCCGAATTTTTCTTGATTACCATCAAAGTCTACACAGATTAATACATACACCATACGAACACGGATTGAAACATTGATGAAAGCTAAAAAACACCATAAGGCACTGCCATGCTAAAATAAATCTTTATAGAGACTCATCACTCTATGCGAACATCCCTACAAGCTTACAAACTTATTCTTTCAAACCCATGGCTTATTACTATGTACGCCTTTCCATATTCTCCAGGGTTACGTGGATGTTGAAATATTAGTTTCAATCCCGTTTATTTTAAAGATAAGTATAAAATATAGGTATGCACGAAAGAGACACGAATTCTACTCCGTTTTAATCACTATAGACGCCGTAATTACTAAGCCAGCGGACGGTTCCTTTTCAAATTCATAAACAACATGCCTTGCTGGCTCTTAGACTAGATAAAACTTAATGCATTATTAAGTTCAAACTCGTAATAATTATTTTTTGTTAGACTGCTCACTCCAGACAAAGAAAACTTTGAACCCATAAAAGTAATGGCACAACCTTTCCAACAAACCATGCAACCAGAAGGTGTCAACATAGCTTCAACCACCCAAACCGTTTTTGTTGGCATGGTTTTTGTAATGGTGCCAGTGAGTTTGGCTGTTGATTTAGTTTATGATCGAGAGGTAGGTACTTTGCCATTCTTCCAGGGTGTATTTAGTCAACTTTCTTTTATTGTTGCAGCTGAAAACCAAAAATCAACTGAGAGTCAATGGTCTATCAACCGTCATGTACTTTATGACATACTTCATAGTCCTCATAGCATTAATGACTATAAAATGTATAGCCTTAATAATAATGATGATTTTATTTGATATTCCTGCTCTAAGAGAATGGCCAGCTATAGTGGTTTTTAGTGTATTAATATTAATTTATTGTCCGTCGTCAATTTTAAGCTGCACTTGCATCAGCTACATTTTTGACAAAACGGATTCTGCCCAGTCAATTCTACCAAATATAGCCACGTTTATTGGTTGGATACCTTTCGTATTTGTTGTCCTATTGGACGTAATCAATACTGGGAAAACCATAGCTTTAGCAGTTCATATGTTATTTTCGGTAACCAACACCATGTACATTCCTTATTCAATAGTCTACAATATCCAACGAGTCTACATGCTTTGCAATGTCAATTCAGCCTGTGATACACTCACTTTAGCCAGCTATTTTACTCCAGAAATAGCAATTTTACTTTTCGGAATGCTCTTGAACATTCCATTTTGGTTCGTAATGTTGAAGGTTGTAGATATAAAAAAGAGTGGAGGTAGAGCTAGAGATGCTTTCAAGTTCCTGGCAAAAGCTAAGTATGAAGACAGCCACATCGAAGCTGATGCAGCGGATGTTGGTGAAAATGAAGATCAAGATGTTAAGGCTGAAAGAGAAAAAGTTAAGAATCTCACTCGTTCACCAAATGTAACTCCTCCAGTTGTAATGGTACAGGATTTACACAAAGTTTACAAAAACAAACACAGCAAAAGCAATTCTTGTTGCTCATGTTGTTTTAAGCCAGATGAAAATGAAGAAAAAACTAAAGTTGCAGTTAAAAGTTTATCAATAGCAGTGGATGCAGGTGAAGTTTTTGGTTTGTTAGGCCACAATGGAGCTGGAAAAACAACTACAATGAAAATTATTACTGCCGAAGAGGCTCCTACAAGAGGAAGAGTGTTTATTGGCGGCCAATCAATAACTTCAAACTTAAACTCAGCTTTTCAATTACTAGGATACTGCCCTCAACATGACGCTCTATGGAGAAACATAACTGTGCGTGAACATTTGGAAACATACGCTGCTATTCGAGGAGTACCATCAAGAGACATCAATAAAATTGTGAACAGATACATTAATGGCCTTCAAATTCAAGACCATGCAGACAAGCAAGTGAAAATGTGCTCTGGTGGAACGAAAAGGAAATTAAGCTTCGCAATGTCTATGGTGGGCAATCCAAAGATAGTACTCTTGGATGAGCCTAGTACTGGAATGGACCCCAGGAGTAAGAGGTTCCTGTGGGACACTATATTGGCCAGTTTCCAGGGTGCTAAGGGGGCAATATTGACAACTCACTCCATGGAGGAAGCTGACGCTTTGTGCTCCAGAGTTGGGATAACTGTTAAAGGAGAATTAAGGTAAAATTAATTTATTTAGCCATACGTTATAGGACGGAAAAAGTTTCAGCTGTCCTTGAGGCTTTTTTAGGCATAAGTCGGTCCATAGAAAATAATTTTTGTCAAAGGCCATCAGGGAGTTCAGTCAAATTAGAGCTTCATATGCGCAAATATCAGACACTGATTTTTTTGCTTTATTTGATTTTATATTACCTAGTTGGCATTGAAATGAGATAATATCCATGGCTTGCAGTGATGTACACCAATTATAATTAAAATTGATCCTAGTGTTTTAATATATTGTAAACTAAATCTCTTTTTAGGTGTTTGGGTTCTACCCAACACTTGAAAAACCTTTATGGAGCCGGATATACACTGGAAATAAAACTTAAAAATGGCGATTCGACGCCGACGTCAGATTCTGGTGATAGGCATCAAGACCTGAAGGATTTTGTAGCAGGTAATTGACTGGAAATTTATCCATTTCTCAGTAAATTGTCCGTCTCGTTTCCAGGACTTTTCCCAGACGCTAATCTGGAAGAAGCTTTTGTAGATAGATTAGTATTTAGCGTACCTCAACAAAGTGTTCCATCTTTAGCCAATTGTTTTATGCAGTTAGAAAAAGGTAAGAGACGAATTTATCCACATTTTATTTTCCCTTGGCAATTGTAACAAGCAAAGTGAAGAATCATATGCAAGAAATTATGATGAAACGAACCACTATGATGCCAGGACCTGATTTTGTTCTTGTCATACATTATCTATCTATCTATTTATCTATACATAAAGTACATTCATGTCGGCGCTCGAGTATAACCGTAGGTCCACTTTGGTGCAGGAGGCTCGTTCCTCGGAGCTTCCCTGTGATGCTTGCAGAATATTCTCTTCGGAGAGGCCTATCGCGTAATCGAATGCTCACCAGGGCTGGGATTCTGGATTCTCCATCAGAAAAAAATATTTAAACTTACGGGCTCGGTGAGGGACCAAGGTTGCGGTAGTATTACCAAGGTTTCGGTTCGAGGGCGACCACTCCCTCTTCTTGCCAGTTGCACTCCCGGGACAGCACACCATTTTTTCCGCACCTTGAGCAGAATTTCCGAGGGTGTTCCCGGCAAGTTTCTCATCGGTGTCCCGGATACCCACATTGCCAACACAGAAGGCGGTGGACGGGTTAATATACGTCCCCATGGTCGGCGAGGGTGACCTGAGTGGTAATTATTTTTGGGGTAGAGGTAGAAGCTCCAGGGTTTTTAGAAGGCTGCTGCCTTTTTAGTTGGCACCACGAGGGTGCGAGTAGTGGACCTATCGGACAACTCCAGAACCGTTTCGAGGTCACCAGGTTGATTCGGAGATTCTGGTAGGGCCTGTTTGGTGTCGGGAGTTGGGGCCTGTTCGGTGTCGGGAGTTGGGGCCTTTTCGGTGTCAGAAGTTGGGGCCCGTTAGGTATCGGGAGTTGGTGCCTCTTGAAGGGCCTCCTCTAGTTCGTCCATGGCGATCTGGAGCTCGAGCGTGGGCCAAGCTGAAGGCGACGGGTTGTGGGTCATGATGCTATAATATGCTTCCTAAAAACAATAGACAGAGATGTATTGATAAAGGCACTGCGGTACGTGACATCTCCATTCTCGACGACGCAAATTATAATTATCGCTCTGAAAGGTAAATGCGCGGCCCAGATTGAGTTATACTACACATATCTACCGACAAGTCATGTCGGGAACTGTTTATAGCGAAGACCAAGTCAGGCAAATGCACATTCCACTTTCTGTGATCGGACTCGCAGAATTGAGCAACCATTGTCTTAATGGTTTTGTGGGCACGTTCGACTGGATTAGCCTGAGGTGTATATGGTGGTGTCAGCCTGTGTTTTATCCCCATTTCTTTCAGCAGTTCTTCAAATTTGTTACCAGTAAATTGAGTTCCGTTATCAGAAATCACGATCTGCGGACATCCAAACTTGGTGACGATGTCTTCGTAGAACGCCATGCCTACAGCTTTGACAGTAGCCATTTGAATAGGCCGACATTGCGTCCATTTTGTGAATCGGTCCTGAAACACCAAATAATAGCAATTTCCTTTAGTAGAACGAAGTAACGGCAAAACTAAGTCGGTGCTAACGGTTTCTCATGGTTTATGGGATGCATTTTGCCTGTGGCTTGTTGTGATATCTTGAAGCGCTGGCAGGACGAGCAGCCTCGAACATATCGAGCGTATCCTTAAACATTTCAGGATAATAGTATCTTCCTGCAATACGAGCAGTAGTCTTTTCGGTTCCCAAGTGACCGGCTGTGGGGACATCGTGGTTCTCTTCCAACGCGCAATCACAAGCGGATTTTGAAATACATAATTTCCAAGAGTCAGTCATAGCATCTTCGGCAAGATCGGAAGTATCCCAGAAATGTAGATATATTCGGCCGTCTCGGATACAATAATCGGCAAAAGTGTAAGTTGTTTTCCACTGCCGATTTCTTGGAACGGTACCAGGAACACGGTGTAAATTCTTCGAGAGAGATGATTGGAGTTGGCTCCAAAAATTCAACTTCGGTATCTACGAGATCTCTGGACAATGCGTCGGCTACTCGGTTTAAAACTCCTTTGCGGTATTTGATTTCAAAGTCGAACTGTTGGAGGTACATGCTCCATCTAGCCAACCTTCCTGCTTGGCTTTTGATCGAATGAAGCCATCGGAGGGACTGGTGATCGGTCACTACAGTGAAATGATATCCTTCGAGGTAGGGTCTCATTTTCTCAATGCCCCAAACAATACCTAGGCATTCCTTTTCGGTTACGGAAAACTTCTTTTCATTGCCATTGATAGTTCTGCTGGCATAAGCTATCACGTGATCACCCTCTGGTCCATGTTAAATCAGTGCCGTGCCGAGCCCATTATCCCATGCATCCGTCTGTGGCACAAACGGCCTGGTGAAATCTGGACATGCCAGAACTGGGGCTTCAGTTAATTAGGTTTCCAGCTGATCGAAAGCAGTCTGTTGGACTTCGGTCAAGCTCCATTTTATCCACTTTTTCAGCAGCTGATTGAGTGGAGCGGCAACTTTGGAGAACTTTTGAACAAAACGGCGGTACCAAGAAGCTACTCCCAAAAATCGCCTCGAAGATTAGTCGGTGGCGTAAGAGTCGAATAGTGGTGACTTTCTCAGGGTCAGTCCGGGTTCCTTTGGGAGTGACCAAGTGTCCCAAGTATCGTAGCGATTTTCTCCCGAATTGGCATGGGTCAGGATTTAATTTTCAAATTAGCGTGGATGAGTCGGTTAAATACTTCTTTCAGCTTAGTCAGATGTTCAAATGTTTCCCCCAAGACGACGATATCGTCCAGAAAGGCGAAACAGTAGAGGTCGAGTTCAGGTCCAATAATGATCCATTAATCTTTAAAAAGTAGCCGGGGCAGAATGTAATCCAAATGGCATAACTCGGAATTGAAATAAGCCAAGGCCTGGCACTATAAAGGCGGTTATCGGTTTGCTATCGTCGGCCAGCGGAACTTGCCAGTAGCCCTGCTTGAGATCGATGTAACGGGCCCGACGGAGTTTATCCAGGATGGCATTGATGTAGGGCAAATGTTATGCATCTTTTCTGGAAATGGTATTGACTCTCTGAAAGTCAATACAGAACCAATACTTCTCATCTTTTTTACGAACGATGACCACTGGTGACCTCCAGCGACTGGAGGAAGGCTCAATTATTCCCTCTTCTAGCATCTTTTCTACCTCACTGACAATTATTTCCTGCATCTTCGGATTTTCCGGTCGGTATCTCTGTTTAATGGGTTCCGGGTTGAGCAGTTTTATAGAGTTTTGAATTAATGGGGTGGATCCCTGGATTTTTCCGAACTTTAGTAGTTTATGGTCTAGAAATTCCTGCAGGCGCCATGCCTCGCTTCTCGTCAACTCTAAGTTAGGTGTCGGATCGATCTGGCCTATCGGGCTGCACCAATTTGGAATATCTAGTGGTTTGCTAAATACACCAGATTTGAGCGAAGATCTAAATGAAATGGGTGTTGTCCTGAAATGTCCATGCCCAAAACTAGTTCCGAAGTAAGGTGCGGAGAGTAACTGAATTCTTCAGACAGCGTAACGTTACCAAATGTCAGCGGAATTCGCTACGCTTTGGTTATGTCGATTACGCTACCGATGACCACTTTCGCATTTCTGACGGGCGGTGGCACTTCGAGAGCTCCTTTTTCTCGACAAATGTCTGCGGCAAAATCTCCTATGTAAGAATTCGCAGCTCCGCTATCTACGAGAGCTAATAACGGCGTGTCGTACAAGTAAATCGAAATATGAGGACGGCGATCAGGTAGAGCTCGTGTAGGTGTGAGATTCCAGGTGCGGATTCTGCGGTGCTGCTCCGACCTCGGAGGGGGACAGCGCCGGCCTAGTTTTCCGAACGGAGGCAGCAATCTCGTGTCATGACGCCTTGTTTCCCGCATTTTAAACAGCAAAGTTTAGCCACTCCTCGACATTTCGTCCGGAAATGTCCTAACTCCCCACATCTCCAACAAACACAGGGCCGGGGTTAGGGTTGACGGGGCTCCTCGCTGGATTTTTTGGATTGTTCCGGGTAGGCATCGGCCTTTCATACCTGGAGTTTCGTCGGGTTTGTTTGATCTGTTGGAAGGGTCCTTCAGTTTGCCAGTTTCTAGGTGGGTTACCAGTTAAGGATATTCTGGCAGGTGTGGAATAATACGAATTCCGGCTTAGAGGAGGTGTTAATTCTGATAATAAAAGCTCGACTTTCCTTATGATTCTTGAAAGGGAAACAACTTCGGTAATCTCACTTTTCCGAGTATGCTGTCGATATTCAGGTACAACCACTGCAATTCTTGGTCGGAGTTAATATTGCCATGCCTTCTTATTAGTGTTTGCAGATCGGTGATGTAATGGTGCGTGGGTTCATTCGGTTTTTGTAGTCGACTGCGAATTTCAATTTCTAAATCAACAGCATAATTGATTGGAAAGTAGAAGCTGCGGAAATCTTGCAGGAATTCGTTCAGGTGTTCCAGTGGGTTCGGTTGTTTCGAAACCAGAGTGATGCTTTGTCGCGTAACTTTTCCGACATGTGCGGTAATAGTCGGTCTCATAGGATTCCTTGAGAGGTACAGATTTCTTGTAATCTCTCAAGGAACGTCACCGGATACGTTCGTCCATCAAAATGTAAATCCCACCTATAATTTTTCAGCGGGGCTAACAGGTAAGTGCCTCGGTAGGTGTTGTGATAGGTGATTGGACAACTATAGTGGGTATGGGAGTAGTAATGCCGGACGTTGTGATTGATGTGGTGGACGGTTTGCTTATTGATGAGGGTGCAATATTTTTTTGTGTAATGAAAGTCGGGGTGGCTGTGGATGGTTGTGGGGGAAGGAAAACAAAAGCCTGACTGGACGGTGTCGGTGTAGCTTTACCGAATCGTAAAAACTTAATTAGCCTTTTCCTCAAAACATCCACACTACCGAAAGTATCTAGACTGAACTTGCCTAGTTCAATAAGTAGGTCATCTTCCCTCAATTGATATACCCAACTCACTAGTACCTCACTGGTGCCAGGATCGGACAGGTTGATGCCTATGGTCGTTGGGGTGTTTATTATATTAGTGGCTGTTAAGCTGTTGGAAACTTCGGTTGATGTGGGAACAGACGCAGTTTTGACTGGTGGTTTTTCACCATCGTTTGCGGTATCTCCAGGCATCTTGCTTCTCAAAACTCGGTTGACTTGGTCATTAAAGGTTCAATAATTTGGAAACTATTGGGCTGGCGTATTTGTGGGAACGGTAAATGCAATCAGCAATCTCGATTTAGTTGAAAAGCAGGTATCACGGCTCATTTGAACTGCGCATGCGCGCAAGCAAATTCAGAATAACGGCCTTATTGGACAGTATTCGCTGCACACGGTCATTGGGGTTGGTCTGGATACGCCTAAACTTGTACTGGCGGAAGCATCAACAGGTCCCAGCTCGGGCGGCAAATTTTTAAGGCGCTAATTTTGTGTAGTCAGGGCGGTTCCGCAGTTAGGGTTTATTCAGCGGTATGTCTCAGGCGCCACCCTCAGGATTAAAGTGGTTGAGGGCCCACGTGCACCAGGCAGCTTTGTTACATTGGAGAAACGCTAATCCAAGGTTCACAAGCGATGCTCAATCAAGACTCGGCGAGTCTCGGGTATAAACACCTGGAAAGCCCTTAACGGTTTTCTGAAAAATTACTGAAAGGTTTTTTGGTCAGGATATGCAATAAAACAGTGGAATAAACAGAATGGAAGCCTCTGTATTATGGAACAGAAAAGAAAATATTATATATGGGACGTCCTTACCTAGAGAGGATTTTTTGAGGTAATGAAAAGAATATTAATTCTAATTTAAGAAAAAATGGAGAGCAAGCGAGAACATGCAAGAGAGGGTATTATAACAGTGCGAACGATGGTGAGAGAAAGATATGAACGGCGGTGCGAAAAGGCGGGTGCTATAGGCAGTGAGATGCAGAGTTACCTAACTACTCTACAAGCTGTTGAGGTGTCGGAACAAAAATCTAATGACTCTGAGCAGTTGCAGTGAAAATTAGTCCCAACAGGCGATAATGGTAAAAACTGCGGTAACCCAAGCAAAAATACGGATCCCGAATAACGGAAGTACCAGTCTTCTTAATAGAAATGCTTGTCCAGGGTACTCAGGCAAAAGACTCTCTTATAGGTCACCCGTCCGGGGTACTCGGGCAAGATCCGGCAATAGAGGTTGCCCTTTCAGGCTACTTGGGCAAAGACCCTATTGAATTTCGCCTCTGGAGTTGCTGTTTAGGATTTTCAAGGCTTGTGGTCGAATGTTCCCTCATACTCATATAAAATCACGATGGATAATAATATGATGGTCGGGTCTTACGGTCCAAAGCGATGGGCCTTTTTATTCTAATATATTTAATAATTATTATTATCAACATTGTGCCGTTTGCGTTCGTTATGGAGATGTATTTTGGATTTCCAATGTGAATCGCCAATAATGATCGTTGGAAATCTGCGTTCTAACATTCCCAGGAAAGATTCTTCCTGCAATGCGTCACGTGATAGCTTGTAGGCGAGAGTAATCCTGAGCTTACCACCTCAGTGGTAAGCTTCTATTCTGAACTATAAATCGCCGACACCATTTAAGGCCGAGAATATCTTTGACCACATCGCTAGCAACTGCGTCTCCTGGTCTATCATTTCTGTATGCTTTCTGTTCTGGTACCTATTCGTATGCTGTTAGCATTCCATGAAATTATCTCTAGGCGCAAACTAACAGCGTTGTGAACATTTAGCATTGTGTGTGATATTACGATGGCTGCCTCAAGAAACTATGATCCACGCTCATGCTGAAAGACCCAGAATAACAATGCCACTAGCTCTTAGTTTATTTTGATATTTCGGTGAATTATTATTAATATGCTACTAATTTCTATTATATTTCTATTATAGCAAGACTTGAATTGGATATCGAGGAATACAGTTTCAGTCAAACCACGTTGGAGCAAGTTTTCTTGAAATTTGCGCAGTATGACGAAATCAACGGAGAATAACCGTAAAAAATTTAGAATAATTTATTTTTGTATTATTGTAATTTGTTAGCTTGTAAATAACGTTTCGAAAAATTCGTAACTAGTAGACTAGTAACGTTTAGTAAGTAGCACGCAACCAGATTTAGGTTTTGATCGTTTTTCAAAACGGATCTAGGAAAATTTGGATTATTATGAAAACAAGGCTTTTCAACAGCAGTCGCCACATTTATTGTAATTTTTTTAAATTGATTTATTGATGCCAATATTTGAAAATCAAACTTTTCTGTAGAACTACGAATAATTGTATGATAAACTCTTTTACATGATATCATTAGATTAGAACAGAAAATTAGAAGAATTCGACGTTCAAGATTAGTTCACTGCTTAACTAAATTTTGAAAAACAGCATAAAATGTCAACAGTGGATGCAGTTCTGCCAAATTTAGTTTTGTATTTAATTTATTATAATATAGGTACATACTTTTCAAGTGAATAGGTACAACAGCTATATGGCATCACAATGTTGCCACTTTGTTGATCAGTGACTTTTCTTTAACAAAAAAAAAATAGTAATGAAAACGTCGTATAAATTGTAGATACATTTAGCTTAGACACAAAAAGATAAATGAGTTAGGAAGTGATATAGGGTTTAAAATGGAGTTTTGGAAGCATGTTTCAGGTTTATTTGAAACTACTTGGTTTAGGCTGGAATGTTTTTTTTTTTTTTTTTGCCGTTTACCTATAAGAGTGTTAAGCGGAAATTGTTAATAAATTCAAATTTCATGCTATATTGAGTGTCCAAAAGATAGATTTTGAGCAAGACATTTTTTGTATTGCCTGTACGTTGCAATACAAACATTTACTGACTAATTTAATTAGGTAGATATTTTTTGCTCACTCATTGTATATTTATTTCCAGTATTATCATTTTAAATAAATCAAACTACTTTTATTGTAGTTTTATTCATTCATTTTTTTTTTAGAACAATTAATTAATTATAATGGGAAAATGATAAAAGCAAAAAAGAAATTATTCGTTTGTAAATTGTATTGTGCTCACAATATAAAAGTCATGATTCAGTTTATACTCTATTGTTTTATTGCTTTTAACTTGGATCCTTAGAAAATCTGTTGATTTTAGATTATTTATTGCAATTTTGACTGGTGTAAATCACAAAATAAATTTGTATTTGTGCATAAAAATCATCTAGATGACCCAATTGTTTCTTATAATCTATTATTGATTTGTACAGCAATTATAAAAGTTCGAATTTTCTAACGTACCTACATATGAAAACTTTAAAGGCTTGAAGTTTTTGACTGTCATGCTAAGGAACGATTAGATTCGGCAATAAAATGGAATTATCAATTATTTAATCTTTACAATTATTATTGTAACTTATCAAGAAAACTGACATTAATAAAAATGTTGCTACTTTGTAGATTTATGTATTTTTATTTATTTTCCTTCAAAAACCTACTTGAACATTTTCTTATTTTCTAGAAATTGAAAGTTAGTATCATTCGGTTTGAGAAATCCATCCAGATTTACAGAAAACGAGAAAGTTTAGCAACTGGATAAAAACGATTTTGATTTTACTCTTCTGTATTTTTATTCACGTTTTATTCTTCGCAATCTGAGCGTAAACTGTCAACAACAAGCATACAAAATGCGAAATGTTTAAAACATATTGTGTTCGATATTCACAGGATAAAGTTGTGTAACCAGGAAATGAGATAGGACAGTAATCAAACTTTCAGGCTTATTATTTGTAGACGTGCAATTTATAACTTTCACTTTAACTAGCATATGTAGGTATTAAATAATAAAGTTGTGAATAAATATTCGCAACTCTACTCTGAACATGATGTAGGGAAATTATGTGAAAGCGAATTTATCCTACTGGAGAAATTTAGTCTTTGAACTCATATTTTCTCTCAAAAAAACAAATTAATGCGTTCAATTGTCATTTAACCCGGGATTACACGCGTGCCGGTCAAAAGGAACGACAATTGATAAAATCAGTAATTACGCCACTGGTACAAAGGTGACAGTTTTTTCCATCCAGGAATGCCTGATGCAGGTTTTCCACTACCCATTGGCCCAAAGATATTTTGGTTTTTGGTTGAAAAAGGGTTAGTTGTTTTCATAGTCGGTGCTTTTGACTAGGCGCGTGAACCTGACTATCTGAAATATTTGTGTTCGAAATTGGCATTTTTTGATATTGGGAGTACTTTTGGCTGTCGATAATACGGTAACTGTACTGCATAATATAATTCCCTTTGTAATAATTATGAATTCTAGGAATTAGCGCTTGTACACTTTTTTCGCGAAGACGGTCCCAAACGTATCCTGAACGCTAAGGCATGACTTACGCAGGTAATATTTGAAAGTTTCATGTCTCTATTGATTAGTAAACTTGCGTAGGTCATGCCTTAGCGTTCAGGATACGTTTGGGATAGTTTCCGCGAAAAAAGCTAAAAATTCATATAAACTTTTGGGCAGTCGGTCGATTTGACCGAACGCGTGTAACGGCGTAAGTTTTTTGGCGCGTGTAATGCCGGGTTAAATTTGCTTATGTACGACCACACAGTAAGAGCCTATTACGTAACTCATTTCAGCCTGTTTGAGTTACGTAATGAGTTGTATTATCATACTTAGTGATGTAATGAGCTCATTACATCACTAGTGATGTAATGGACTCATTACGTAACTCATTTCTATTGAAAAACAGCACTTTTTAAAATTCATTTATTCGTAAAGATTATAAATATAATCTATTGTGAAAAATTAAAACCATTTCGAATACATAAAAAAAAAATCTAGGTCGTACATAGAATGTTGTTATATCACACGTACGGTAACGCTCATTACACCACTGGTGTGATTACCAAGACTCGGTCTACGATCTCGTCTTGGCAATATTCCCTACTCGTTACTGTAATGGAGCTCATAATAGTACTAGTGATATAAATAACTATTATTTAAATTGAATGGGTATCTGGAACATCTGGGATATTTTGATAGTGGATGCACAGGTTGAAAAGTTTTCGAATATTTTTGATTAATATATTTCCTCCCATTTTTATTGTTGTTGTTAAACCGTTTCCACCTGAAGCTTTGTAGTTCTTCATCCCTCTCCAGCGTATTGTAAATCTCCTTAACCGAAATGTCAGGAAAGTCCTCTGAACCCTGATATATTGCCGGACCTGGGGGTTATGAGGGGTGTAAATCAAAGCTAGAGCCAAGTACAAAAATAGGAAAGGGTATTTGAATAAGGCTTACCACAAATACATGTCAGTTATGGGCATGGGCACTAATAATTGTCACAAAACTAAAAGGCCCTATTACTACTAACTAACTAACGCGGATAATTCACTATCTGTGGACTGATAGCTCATCTTCCAAAAACCCCTTATTTTATGTTAGTCGAGCAACCATGGTACGTGATTTCTAATTACAATAACTACCGATGACCTGTTGTCGACATTGACCTTCTATGGGTTTCATTTCCATGTCCGTATCAATAATTTTATAATTTGTTCAACTTGCAATGGGATGTTATTTAAATGTAACGTGAATGATGGTCTTCCTCTATTCCATGAACTTTTTTTGGAAGACGAGGGAATTTAACTTACCGAAGGGAGATGCCCTATTATCCTAGAAACGACATATCCCCCGGGTTTAGAAAGCTGGGCCCCAGCTTTACACAAAAAATAAAATCTATACAATACAAAAAAAATTACGAGATGAAGTCGTTGAGTAGAACGGTAGGTGTCGGTTCATCTTTCGAGTTTCCTGGGCGTTGGCTATTTAGAGTTGAACTTATGATAAATAGCCTTGCCAGACCTAGTTCCGTCAAGTGGTGTCCATGCGTTGAATTTGGAACCAGACTAGTCCTTGGTCAGCTTGCCAGTGATGAGCTACAATGGCTTCTTCATTTTTTTTTTTTTTTTTTTTTTTTTTTTTTTTTTTTTTTTGTGTGGTCATTTGTAGTCTATCTATGTTGTATCCCGAGCTCCTCGTAGTCCGGAAAGGTTGGGCAATGACTTGGCTTGATTTATATGCTGAAAACCAGCTATTTGCGGCGCCCTCTAAGAAGAATCCAAAAAAAGATATTTTGTAGGAGTCGGACCAGCCACTTAGGGCTGCTGCCCTTTCATATTTGCTCAGAAAATTAATTGGGGAATCTGAACCTGGGTTGAAAGTCGGTGGTTCCATGAATTTAGGGGTTGCGGGACTTTTCGCATCTAACGAAGCGTCCTAGATTGTTGTGTTGGCATTTTCTGGTTTCTTCCTGACTCCGGATTTATTAATATATCGGACTTCTGAGATTTGCTCTTTAACTCCTGGTCTGGAGTTGTTCAATTAAAGTACGGAAATGGTGTTGGTTAATATAAAGATATATTTATTGAACAAAAGGCATTATTTGGGGGTAATTCTGGTGCGGGTGCAGCTCAGCTATGGAAGTAGTCTGGAACGTGTACCAGATCCAGCAGGATTAGGTTGAATCTAGAAGTTGTAGTCGAGTTTAAATACAGATCAGGAAGCAGTGCTTGAAGATAGGCTGCATCCGGTGCCAGTTTTCTGGAATGCCAGTCATCCATGTAGAGGATCAGGAATCGAACAGTTTGTTCATCATCAAGTGATGACCATTGATGGATGTAGAACAGATAGCTAGAGTTTAGTGGACTGTATGGAGAGAGACTTGAAGGTGAACACTTAGAGAACGTGCAGAGGAGATGCCCTATCGGCTCCTAATATCGGAGACGAAATCCTGCTGATATAACTCAAGGATGTGCAAATGTAAATAAACCATGGAAATGGATAGTAATAGAATGCGAACTCTCGAGGGAGAAGTCGCGCCAGCAGGAACACCCAAAACTAGAGAGTAATAGAATGCGACTCTCGAGGGAGAGGTCGCCACATCAGGAATGCCATCAGAATTGTATAGTAATAGAATGCAACCTCTCGAGGAAGAGGTCGCCGCAGCAGGAACACCATCAGAATTAGATAGTAATTGAATGCGACCTCTCGGGGAGAGGTCGCCCCAGCAGAAGTACTATCAGAATCAGATATTAATAGAATGCGACCTCTCGGGGAGAGGTCGCCCCAGCAGGAGTACCATCAGAATTAGATGGTAATAGAATGCGACCTCTCGGGGAGGGGTCGCCCCAGCAGGAACACCATCAGAACTAGATAGTAATAGAATGCGACCTCTCTGGGAGGGGTCGCCCCAGCAGGAATACCATCAGAACTAGATAGTAATAGAATGCGACCTCTCTGGGAGGTGTCACCCCAGCAGGAATACCATCAGAACTAGATAGTAATAGAATGCGACCTGTCGGGGACAGGTCGCCCCAGCAGGAATACCATGAGCATTAAATAGTAATAGAATGCGACCTGTCGAGGACAGGTTGCCCCAGCAGGAATACAATTTGCATTAAATAGTAATAGAATGCGACCTGTCGGGGACAGGTCGCCCCAGCAGGAATACCATGAGCATTAAATAGTAATAGAATGCGACCTGTCGGGGACAGGTCGCCCCAGCAGGAATGCCATGAGCATTTAATAGTAATAGAATGCGACCTGTCGGGGACAGGTCGCCCCAGCAGGAATACCTTGAGCATTTAATAGTAATAGAATGCGACCTGTCGGGGACAGGTCGCCCCAGCAGGAATGCCATGAGCATTTAATAGCAATAGAATGCGACCTGTCGGGGACAGGTCGCCCCAGCAGGAATACCATGAGCATTTAATAGCAATAGAATGCGACCTCTAGAAGGAGAGGTCGCCCCAGTAGAAACAACATTCATAGTACATTGGAGTTAGGTACATACCAGATTGATTGTGGCGTCACTTAACCAGAATACGACTCAGTATTCTATATATTTGATGAAGGCTTGATGGGACTCGTAGTAACACCGTAAAACACTTCACCACACAAGCACGATTAGAGAGTTTTAAAACCTGACAGCCGAACGAGGGCTGCAATTGTTTGTTTCAACACCAAGATGAGCTACTTTAGCTCAGGAAAACACTAGCGTAAACAAATCAACTAACGGAGAGCGGTAGATCAGAATTGATCGAAATCTCACAATGTACTGTCCCTTCCTTATGCGGGCGCCGCCGCCAGGTACCATGTCTGCCTCGAACCTCGGGTTGCTTATTGAAAATTCTCAACCCTTCATAAAATCAATATTTTGTCAGCAAGTTCACTGTAATCTACCTGGCTGGAATCTTTATGACCTTTTGGGTCGGTTTGATGAAAATAGGTACATAAAGAAATGCATTATTTTAGGTTTTTGAATCGTTTATTCTTTGCTGAAAAACAGGCAGGTTTTTAAATTCACATTTGAAACAGTAAGCCTTATTTTAACATTTCCCGCCCGCCATTCGTTAGTCCATCTAACGAATATTTACAATAATTCTTCATGAATGGGTAGCGGGCAGACCTTGGCAATGGGTCTTTCCAGATTTGATGTTTTCGTGCGGACAGT